TACTACAGTCACTTCTGGGACATTCTGTATCCAGGAAGGGCTTCATCCTTCAGCAGTACCATAACTGTGAGGTGGACTCTAGACACATAATCAGTCTACAACAAAAGGTCTGCAACAAAAGTGAGATGTAATGACTCCATCTTCTTTCCAGGATTGGCCGTTTGATGATGGTTCTGCCCCCCCTGACCAGGTGGTTGATGATTGGCTGTCCCTGCTGCAGACAAAGTTTAGGGAGGAGCCTGGCTCCTGTGTGGCTGTGCACTGTGTTGCTGGACTGGGAAGGTCAGTATGAAGTGGACACAGGATTGACATGATCCTGTTATTTTGTTGGTTATTCTGTTATTCAGTGCATAGTTAGTTGTAATCGTGTTGCACGGTAGTAAGCGTTTGAGGTCTTTCCAGAACTGCAGAAGCCTCTTGAATGAGAAGCTAAACATCTTCAAGAACCAAAAAGAAACGTCTGGTTGCTTTGTACTGAAGCTCTTGGGGATTACAATGACCTGAATGACTGAGAAACAGACAGATTGAATGATGTGCTACATCACTGTAGTCCCACTTTACTGTCACGATTCTACATTTTTCTGGGCTGTGGCATTTATCAGCAAATATTTGAAGCTTTGAGGGGTATCTAGAGTCTGGTGAATGAGACTTAGAGCTGTGTTATTACTCCAGATCTCCCAACGTTTGTCTTTATGTTTTAATTTAGATATTTAGATAAGTTGTCTATGAAGATTCTCAGTCATCCAGGTCATGGTTATTCTTGTAGATTCATCGTAGCAAGTCCAGTTGCTACGATGCAACATTGCTTTTCAAAAGGCCAGTAATACAGCTTTATCATGAGATTTGGACAAAACACATAACAGACTAAGCTAACATTGCTATGTGTGTGGTATTGGGTTGGTTATTTACACCGTCAAGTAGCAAACCTCTGAAAGCATTCAGGCGAGGTTTCATCCATGTGCTGGTAGGCCAGTTTCAAATAGCATATTTGGCACACTGCATTTGTTTTGTCATCACCCAGTTTAGCGTGTTCACACACAGCTGAGGTCTTTTATCTTCCCTTTAACTACCAAAGAGAGTTGAAGCGTAAAGTCCAGTGCTAGTGAGGGGAATGCCAGGTGGCCAAGGACAGATGTGTATACCTCCACCTTTAAATAAGGCATTTAGAAAGTATAATTCTAGTACAAGAATGTGCTGACAACATGTACTTTATCTTTATCGATAGCTTAGGAAAAAAAATCCCAAACTTCAAAAATAAATACCTTTCCAACAAATGAGTGTCTGAACAATGAAATGTTGGGACCAAGCCCCACTATTTTATAGACTTGGATCTTAGCAGCAGTCACACTGTGAGAATTTGATTCTAAATGTATGACAGCGTCTACATAATTTTCCACAGGCCATCTTTGGTTGACAAAGCTCTAATTCAGCCTTCAGTAGACTAATTTGACACTGAAATGTAGGACTACCAGTTGGCATCGATGATCACAGCAAAAGATACCACTGGCACAGTAGAAGTGCTGTTTAAAGGTCTGTGGTTTGTGCAGTGCTTCAGGGCCTTGAACAGTTGTTTTTAATCTACTTGTTATTTGTTCCCAGAGCTCCTGTGTTGGTGGCCCTGGCTCTAATTGAGTGTGGGATGGAATATGAAGATGCAGTGCACTTAATAAGACAGTGAGTACTGGGCTCTGATTCAATTACTTCCTTTTTCTCTGTTCTCTCCTTTCATTCGCCATGTTCAGCACCATCCTCAGTACGATTCACATGTCTGCCTTTCAGTGAGTGTTCTTGAGCACTATGTCCCCTTTATGTTACCAGGAAGCGTCGCGGAGCATTGAACGCCAAGCAGCTGCTTTACCTGGAGAACTACAAGCCCAAACTGTGTCTGCGCTCCAAAGATGCCAACGGACAGAGCTGCTGTATACAGTAGGAATCTAAACAACAAAACAAAAAACGTGGAGGTGTTAAAAGTTTTCATTTCTGTTCCTTGCTTTGTAACTTCACCTGCACATGTAGCAAAAGCCCACAAATATTAAAGTCAAACAGAATCAAAAGCTTGTTTGTCTGTCAAAATTAAAAACATTTATTCCAATTTTTTTCTCTGTCGGTTCACTGGTAGAGGTGCAGAAGCAACTGATGCTGTTGTTCTGATTTAAAATTCTAACTTTGGGATCAGGCACTATGAATAATTCAGCGTCGCGAGGCCTGACAGCGTGTTTGACAGTTGATTATTCTTATATAGTCTGCAGCTTGATATTTGTTCTAAGCTACAACACAGAAATTCTGAATACATAGTTGACAACACAGTCTGAGCATCCTGAAGCTTGCTGGTTTGTTGTACATCCATGCACACAGTGGCTGAGACTGGCTTATTTATTTGACTCACTAAGTCAATGTTCTGCAGCCAGAGTGATGCACACATGACCAAGAATTCACACAAGATAGAACATATACAATATTTAATAAATGTACTTAAAGAAGATTAAAAGATTTGAAGAAGTGTGTCCTCAGTTTGATGCAAATGTGAGATGATGTAATAAACAAGAGTACAATCTATCTGCATATTGTATGTCCCAGATCAGAGTTATAAGCGTCTGCTTGTCTAGAACAAACTCCTGTTGGCTTTAAATGTTTGGCACTGACCGTCATTCAATCACCAGATCAAGTAGACCAACATGTTGAAGATCAGTTGGTGAATGTATTAATAACGGAACACATGAAGGTTTTGGAAGATTGTTCTATTGGCTGCAGGTTTTAAGAACACAGAATCATCATTATATCCTCAGTGCTTCTGTGCTTGGTGTGTGAAATACTAATCGTGGGGTCCCGATGCTGTCGGTGTTACAGATCAGAGTTGATATGCATTGGCCACTTTATGCATGAAGCGTCACAAGTACTGCTGTGTTTTGTATTTGGCTTTCTTTAGTTGTACAAGTGCAGTTTGAGCACCTTAAAAAAACCTTCCCCCAAATTAAATTAAGTACTTTGACCTATTTGTGAATTAGCACACAGTTCGTTGGTCTTTTTGAATATCCAGAGAGCCAACACTTCAAATTTCAGCATTGCACAAATTTGAATTGTTGCTGTTTAGTACATTTCTTGTTTGATGCCACAACTAAGCACATGTGTTGCATTATAAACCTCTGGCATTTTCATATTTCTGCACACATGTTTTACCACGTGTTGCTTTTTTCTATTTAGAACCTTGCATCATAATTAGTTTCCTGTTAGAACCAGCAACCAGACTGATGAAGGACTCGTGTAAACTTAGACTTTTTCCAGCTAATACACAATGTCTTACCTTAAAGTACAGACCAGTGAGACCTTGGCTCAGTTGACTGGTAGAGTTTCTGTCCAGATGCCCATGAATGAAGTTAAAAAGCGACGGTCAGCTTTAACAACATTGACAAACACCTCAGTAGGTGGCCACAGATAAAAGAGAAGATATGTTGCCCTATCGCACTTTATTTTGTAGGGTCTCTTTTTTGCCTTAGCCCAATTGATGAAGACATTTTTTTTAAATAGCTGCTTAGCATCTGACTCGTAAACATCTCCCATTTATCCAGCCTCAGAAAGAAGCAAACATTTACTTTCCCTGCAGCCAAACCAGCCTAGGTTTCCTCCTTCGACATCAAGCCAGGTGTTATTTGTTTTTGTGTGGCAGGTCAGTACCACAGACACATCAGCTGCATCTTTCATAGTGCTGTCCCCATCTTTGCTGCTCTGTAGCTGAGGTGAGCCCTGCTGTGGGAGCAGTGTTGTTTTACATCTAAGCAGGCAGCTAAAGCACCAGTATGATCTCTTTTAAGTGCCTGTTCAGTGTTGTTGGCATTTTTCTGTGCTGCCCCTTAACTTTCTGGCAGTGAAACCCAAAATTGGAGTGTGGTATGTTTCTGCTCTGACATTGTACGTTCACGTTATGACCGACGTTAGCTCACGAATTTAGCATCTTTGAACTACTGCTGAGTGACAGTAAATTAAACTTGTAAGCACAGTATATTCCATTCAAAAGCTTTGATTGCAATATATATGCACAATTTTATTTTGGAAACTCAAGATTTTCAGGCCGTCCCTTCTGTCAATTAGGGGACCCGAGACCCACGTATTTCACACACTGCTTCCTCTTCATCCTCCACAATGATAAGCAAAGAATGGCTGATTCAGTGGCAGCACACGGTATCTGACGTTAATCCTCCTGTTGAGTCTTTAGAATAGATTATATTGGGTGGTAATCTGCATTATAACAGCCCACTGTTAAATGATAGTAAATCCATGCAAACACATGAGAATTTACTATCAGAGGTGGTAAGCTAGTATTTTTTAAAAGAAGTAAGAAGGGTGACCTTTTAGTGATACAAACCTAAAGATAATCTTGGTTCCCCATCACCGATCAATAGAACAATCTCTCAAATACTCTGTGTGTTCCTGTTAAAACAACCACGTACCAAGACTGTGGAGCCAACATGGCTGCCACTGAAACCTTAGTGGCCATAGTTCTCATCTCTCTTCGGCTCTTCGGTCAGCTGCTGTGTTCGTAAGATGCTCTCGGTCTTTGTGATGTTATTATTTTTCCTCTAGTTTTTCTTTTCTTTCCCTTGTACCTTGTACCTGTTTGTACCTGTTATTTATTCATTGATTTTACTGTGTTTCTTTGTGAAATGTCCGTCTGATGGAGAAAAAAAACAAAAAAAAATTCTATTAGTCTTCTTGGAAAATTAAAGTGTTTAGTAATGTAACGGTCCACTTTTTTGTTTGTCTGTTTTAACACAGCTGAATGCACCTCGTCAGCATTGTGAGTTAAGTAGAGAACCAACTTTTTATCTCATTCACTTAAAATCGATTCAATCCTTGAGGTAGTTTCAGATTAAGAGCCTCATAGTCAAAACACATCGTCACCATCATGCCCTGTGCAGCAGTTGCAGGTCAGTGCGATCGGACTGTTGTGTTTGGCAGCTGAGCGTGAGGCCGACCTGACCTCGGTGAACCCTGTGCGTGGGGTGGGCTTGCCTCTGGCGGCGCTGATGCTGTGTGAATGTGGTCATCGAAGTGGAATCGCAGCATCACATGGAGCCAGTGGGTGATAGAAGGTCGATGGGGTTTATTGACTGACCTGACACCACGCGCGCGCGCTGGAGCTAACCTTGAACAAAACAGCAACACTGGATGAATACAATAAATATCAAACCGGGGGGGGACTGAGTTTCCTCTGCAGGGCTGTTGGTTGGATTGCTGGACCTCAACAGCTGGCAACTGAATTTTAAACCTAAATATAAATTCTGGTTACTCATCAGAAGGTAAACAGTCGTTATTTAGTCTGTGCTCGCGGTTAATGTTTGACGGTGTAACGCCAGACTTCAACAAATTAGGCAGACTTTCCACTGACCACCTGCATGTGTTGATACACAGATCGACATATATTCACTCCTCCAGAGCTGTCAGTAGAGAGTGTTGGTTCCTCCAGTGGACAGTGGGGGGCGGTGATGTCCTGTCACATGCTGCACTTCATAATCGAGTCATTTACACTCAGGTTAAGAAGCAGAACTTTTTTATCTTTTAAATGTGTTTCAGGGACATTCAACAGCGAGTCCGTGTCCGTTCACAAGGTTGACCGCATCACAACATCACTAACGTTTCCCTAATAAAGACCTACAGCATGTCAGGAAACACATCTCTACGAACTTACCGCCGTAATGTAATGTTTCGTGTTTTTATGGTTTGTAAAATATGACTTTGAAAATGAGCGATCGCAACATTGAGGACGCGCACGTCGTCCTTGGCAGCAGAGGGACAGCTCTGTGATAATCTGCTGAATTTATGACAGCTGAACATCTCTGAGCTCGATGTGAGCAAGACGACCCTGTGTGTGTGTTCAGAGTAATATAGTAGCACATCACAGCTGTCTTTTTTTTTTCCTTCTCTTCAGATGTATTTGTAGTTGGAGAGCTATTAGGAAGGAAAACCTGAAGAAGACAGTAGAAATGCATCAGAGTGGTGTAACCTGATAGGACTGAAATATTGAATTCACCTCACACAACTTCATCCTGTCTTGTTGGACAAATCTACNCCCATAGTGAAGCCTGTTAGAGCGCTACACACTCACAGAACTGGATTTAAATCCAGGAACTGTTATTTTTCTGGCAGAACTGTTTTGCAGAAGCATTTCTCTACAGCTGTTGACCCCATACATACGCATTCTAACAGCGCAACCACCTCCCATTCACACACATACAGCAATAGTTGTGACCAGCCACAATGTGTGTCCTGACTTTGTAGCGATTCAGTACTTTTGAGTAAAAAGTGTACAGATAGTATAGGAATGCATCACTTTGTAGATGTAAATAAAGAATGTGTTTTTATTAAAGTGTATGTGAGTTATGTTTAGCTGTGGATTTAGTTAAAGCTCTTGTGCAGACTCGCAAAAACTGTAAGAATGAAACCTATGTTAAAGAATTCTGAAAGCAAGTGGTGCAAACTGTTAAACAATGTAAGACCCACAACCTGCAACCAAACAAGAGAAATGAAAAAAATAAAAAAATAGCTGGAATAACACAGTGTGATGTCTCAACAAGCATCTTATTGTACTTTCGTATGTAGTTTAAATTGTAATTTTCTTATGAGCTTTATCAACAGTACAAAAACATAACTTTAGCAACTGTTTTGATCAACTGAGGGTTTTATAAAAAAAAGTTAATCATACTGCATATAAATAAGTGCTCATGTTTTATATGGCTTGACTGTATAAGCAAATAACAGTGAGTGAAAAAAGTATAATTTGACCTACAGCGATTTGCTTATTAAAAAAAAACAAAAAAAACAAAAACATAAAACAACAAAACCATTGTGTCATCCCAGTGTTGTACAGCATATACGGTGCACACAGCGGTTCAGGGTTGGGATTCAGAAGGAGTTCTTCTGGTTTCAATGAAATGAAGGAATATCTAAATTATATGATTCAAATTCAAATGCAGTTTTTTTTTTTTTTTTTTGGTCTGTTTGTTTCTACACTTATTCAAGCTAAAAACTCAATAGAAATTATGACATTCAAATACATTTTTAAAATATATATTTCAGTTGAGCACTTCAAAGTTAGTTTCTAGTTGTACAACTTTCTGCACACAATCCTCATAGTTGTGCTGCTGATTTAACTGGTCAACTAAATTGGTTGTGGTGACAACAAGACTGAAAATGAATTGATCTTAAATCCAAAGTGCAGGGGCCTCCGCCAGACGTTCCCAGCTCACCCTCACTACACGTTTGGGTTTACTACATCCATCCAGCAGCCTTCCCCATCATCAGATCCAACTCACCACCAGGTGGTGATCAGCTGACAGCTCTGCTCCTCTCTTCATCCGAGTGGCCGAAACATATGGCCGCAGGTCTGAAGACAGGACGACAGAGTCGACCGTCGACCTTTGGCCTAAGGTGCTCTGGTACCAGGTACATTTATGAGCTACCTTATGCTCAAACATGGTGTTTGTTAAGGCCAGTCTATGACAAGCACAGTCACCTCCCTCCAGGTTTCTAAGTCATTGCCAACGTGAGCGTTGAAGTCACCCAGGAGAACTATGGAGTCCCCAGGCGGCACTCCGTCCAGCACACCACCCAGAGACTCCAAAATGGCCGGAATACTCAGAGTTGTTGTTTGGTGCATGAGCACAAACAACAGTCACAGTTTTCCCCTCCACAACACTCAGTCGCAGAGAGGTGACCATCTCGTTCTCCAGGGAGAACCACAACAAAGTAGCACTCAGCCTATAAAAACTGTCTGAGTCTGCCTGTTTTGTACTTTTGTGTGTTTCTTCTGTGGCATACTGACAAAACTACTACTTACTGAAAAAAATGTAAAAACATTTATAAAGAGCACACAATTTATTCTCATGTATGCAAAACAGTAGATGGCAGCAGTGACTTCCGCATCATTTGGCAGTTACATTTTGCCTGCTTAGAGCCTTATAAAGTCAGTATAGAATAATAAATAAATATTACTATGAAAGTTAAAATTTCAGGTCATACATTGGCTGATAAAATGTGATTTTAGGAGTGTCGGGAGCATGTTTCAGCTAAATGCCTGTTGCAACGACATAAAATAATACTTTTGTAAAAAATAAAATAATGTGAGGTCATTTTATTTGCCTGCTTCTTTTATTATTTATTTTAAATTTTGTTCTACGGTTATTTATTTAATTGTATTGTTGTATTTAATTGTCAAGTGCGCATGGTTAAGATCGAGCAGTACCGGAACAGAGCAATATGTGCGTTTTACTTTTAAAAGCCATTGACCGGAAGTAGCAGCGTCTATTGCGGCTAACTTGTCATTTCTGTTCAACATGTCTCCCTGGCAGACTCCTCTCTGTCATTAGAAGCGCCTGGAATTTTCGTGAAACTACTGCGTTTTGTAAGTATTTCTATCGATACGACATGTTTTTACACCGACGTAGTAACTGTTACGGTTTGCTGACTGTTGTTTGCCTGCTTGAACAAGGTCACTGCACTCGCTGTCATTTGGTTGTTATTGAACACCGGTGAGCGCTTTAGCCTGGAAGTGTTAGCTCGCCTTTTTATCCCGGCAACATGGTTGTTGACCTGGTTTTACATGACTCGGCTGGCTGAGCTTGTAATGACAGAAGGCGCCGTTGATTAGTCAAGTGGGGCAGTTTCTAAACCATGTGCTAACAGTTCGTCTTAAACTGCGTATGTCACAGGCTTTGTTGTATGAGCACTAGGTGCCTTTGAAAACTAGCTACTAGTAACGATAAGCTAGCTGGCTAATTTAGCACAAGCTAACTGTCAAGCAGGTTGTTTGTGAACCAACCTGCTGCTGTTGATGTACTTAAGTTATTGGCTTATACGTGGTTTCTAACAATTAGTGCTTTGTTATATATCGTTAACTGTCAGATGTGTAACATAAGGTGGCTAGCTAACTGAATCTCGTAGCTTTAAGACGGTCCATTATTTTCGTGTGTCATACTAAAGTATACAATACTAGTTAACATATTTGATCTTGTTCCGTTATCTGGCAATACCGGCTGCTTGGTGGATCATTTTCTCGAGGCTCGGTAGTCAATCCACTGCATAGCAACATACAAGCCATTGGTCATATTTGGAAATACGTAATCCAGCTACATAAGTCATGTAGCTGAGCAACATTAACATGTGTGTTGTTCGCTGCAGGTTAGCACAAAGCTAGCGGGCCGTTGTCAGCCAGGACCCAGAAAAGCAGCATCATCATCAATGGTGTGTCTACATCCCGGAGCCGTCACATTTTCCTGTGTCCGCTCAATGAACTGTCTCCTCAGCTCTCAGCACAGTGAGTATTTGAGTTTCATGGACTCATTTCCGTTAATCTTCCAGCAATTGAACGAGCACCTTGGTCACTTTTGTAAAACTCGCCACATCTCACTATCTCACAATCTCACAATCTCACTAGGTGGGTCCGAGTAACATCTCTCTACCGCCTTGATAACTCTGACATTTCTGTCTTGTTGCTAATTTTCTATAGTTATTTTTTTTTTAATGTTCCCTTTGTAATGTCTTCTTGTTATATCACAACCTTGAGAACAGTCGCTTTGCGTTTCACTTGACATACTCGATTAGCAAGTGACAAATTTAAACTCCTAAAGCTTGAATATCTTCATCACTTTTACCACAGCACTAGTCTGAACTGTATGCTTTAATGGATAGGCACACAGAAGAGCACAAATATTGATCCAAATACACCACAGAGCGTGCAAAAGAC